TCCGAGTGGTCTAAGGAGCTGGACTTGAAATCCAGTATGCTCTGCATGCGCAGGTTCAAACCCTGCTGCTCTCGCTTATTGTTAGATGACGTTGGTTGTAGATGTTGGGGTTGGTGTTAATGTGTCGACAACAAAGCAGTTGAGACAGCCACAGTTGGCTGAAAGAGTTTCAGTGATGAGTTTTGTATCCGACTAGCCGTTGATGTGTGTGTGGTCGTGATGATGAAAGCAGTTTTGAAGCAGAATATCCAACCAACACACACCCAACACCCAAAATGCATCTCGTAAGGTCGTACCCAGACTCGAACTGGGGTTACAGGTATCAAAAACCTGGGTGCTGAACCACTACACTATACAACCGTGCGATTACTGTGGGTTATTCCGTATATCATGGCAAACAAGCGATATCCAGTACAATCAATCGTGCTAGCTAAAGACTCGATCTTACAACAAACAAAACTGTACCCTCATGATTAATAGAACCTCTAAATAAATCGCGGTCACTGTGATTTCATATCAAAGAGAGATAAGGACCAATGCACGATGAAGCCTTTATTCACGGATACAACCTCCAGGTAATAAATAAGAAAACTTCCCATCTCGTCTTGCAACAGTTTCCATCAGATAACTCGGCAATGCGACAGCGCTCTCCGATTTCCTCAGCTTTCCCCATTTCCACACCAAATCTTTAACAGAATAAGCTTCAGGGAGCATCCCAAAAATATCTGATCCTTCGCAGATTACACGTTGAATACGTTTTGGGTCCAATAAGTCTTTTGAAGTGACTCGGTCCGCGTGGGAATATGCTTTCATTTTGAAAATGAAGTCAGCGATTTTGGGGAAGCAGAAGGAGCAATGCCATCCTGTGCGTTTGTTCGTTAAAAGGTATCGTCAGCTGAGAAAAAAAGAAGAGCGTACCGGCATCTGAGAGAATAACATCTGATACTTTTGAGTGTTGATAAAAGAACTGATCCAGGCTTTGCGGCACAGTTACGACGCGCGCTCGCCAATGATCTGTGTCCATCAGAAAATCAAACGAATAAAGATAATTACGCATCCTTAAGCATATATCAATTAATACACGTGAAATAATGTTAAATAATAGCTTGAACTCACCGTAAGTGTAACTTGTCTGGGACATCATTACAAGCCTTGATCAAACGCACTGCATCTCTGGATGGAATCTCATCCACGTCACTCATAATAACGCGATCTCCTGCCAAAACCCCCACGTTCCACCTCAAATACTCTGTCGTCTTCCACCGCATTTCCCCTTCCGCCTGAAACGGATCCTCCTTATACTCACCCAACTCAACCTCCAAATACCGGATTTTATCCTCCACGAACTCAAACCGCTTCCGATTCTCCTTGAACACCAAGTCCTTCTCCAATCCCGTAAACGTCCTCCGACTCTCAACAACGACAAAGAAATCAACCACATCCATCAACTCGCGCATCCGAAGTTCCAATAGATCCAGTTCAACAGAAAACAGTACAACGTCCCAAACACGAGTAGGTCGAGTTGCAGGTGTCCATCCATGTGCGTGGCAGAGGAGCGATGCGTTCATGTGGGGAGGTGGTGGGAAGAACGGAATCACGGTCACATTTGGACCAAAGAGAGGTGTATCCCAAAGAGGCCGTGTTGCATACGTTGCGATGTGGGTTATGCGTGAGGAACTGTATACTATGAGGCTAGTGAGAAAGCAAACGAAGCCGACTCGAAGAAGCAAGGATGTGCTTCGTCGATTGAGAGATAACTTCATGAAACTGAAATGAATATTGAGCTTTGGCTGTTGGAGTGGAGCGGTTGATTGGTGTACAAGTATGGGCGTGCTGCGAATTGACGTTGGTTGGCCCTGGTAAAGTTGGCGGGACGTTTACAGATAACTCTTCTGTGCAAGCGTTTTGCGATAAAGCATGCCGCTTTTTGATTAAGGAGATGTGGGGCTGGCGGTGCTCCGACGGCTTTTCCAAATTCTTTGCGAATTGAAGTATTGCATCTGGAGATATGAAGTTCCCGACAAAAGTACTTATTTAATCAACGGGTTGTTGTTTACGCGAATGTTTTTTGTTGAAGGTTTCTTGGGCTTGAGTGGAGATCATATTCTGTTTTGAAACTCATCTCCATTTACTTCATTAATTTCATAAATATCATTTATTTCCATCTATCATTCTTTTCTCACGCAGCCTCCAGGTAAAAGATACGAAAATCGGGTGTCACCCAGTGCAACGCTCTCAACCAGATACTTTGGCACCGACACTGCACTCTCCAACCTTTTCAGTGGACCCCACTTCCAAGCCAGCTCTTTGAATGAATAAGCTTCCGGTAGCATATCAAATATATCTGTTCCTTCACAAATAACACGTTGGATCCGAATTGGATCCAGAAGGTGGGCTGAAGAGACACGATCTGCATGAGAGTACGCTTTCATTTTGAAAATAAAGTCGCTAATGCGTGGGAAACAGAAGGAACAGTGCCAACCTATGTCAAGAAAGTCAGAATTAACAAAGTTGGGATGCCTAGTAAGTACCTGCATCCGAAAGAATGATATCAGACTCTTTGGAATGCTTGTAAAAGAACTTGTCAAGACCAACTGACGCAGGAGGAGTGGTTACAATTTTGGCACGCCAATGGTTGGCGTCTTGTTGAAAGTCGAATGAGTACAGAAAATTACGCATCCTAGGAATGGAATGAATATGGACTGCGATTTCCGCAAAAGATGAATTACCTTAAATGCAGTTTCTCAGGCACACCTGCTCCACAAGCTTTAATTAGCCGTATGGCGCTTTCTGATGGAATCTCATCAACATCGCTCATAATAACTCGATCTCCAGGACCAAGTCCAGCTTTTTCTCGCAAATACATTGTGGTCCTTCCACGCATTTCGCTTTCTGTTTTGAAGGGATCGTCCGTTGGTTTGTATTGATCCAACTTTGAACAAAGAGTTGAGTGATTAGCCAAAGCACGAGCACTATACCTCTAAGGGCACATGTCTAATCTTGTCCTTCACAAAGTCAAATCGAGCCTTATTCTTTTCAAACACCAGTTCCTTTGGTAGTCCTGTAAATGTCTTTGAAGATTCCACAACGACAAAGTAATCGACGACATTCATAAGCTCTCGCATTCGAAGTTCGAGCAGATCAAGTTCGACGGAGAAGAGAACAACGTCCCATACTTTCGTTTGATTCACCGCTGGTTGCCAACCGTGGGCGTTGCAGAGGAGCGCAGGATTAACGTTTGGCGGCGGCGGAAC